ATGGCTACTGTAATTGGAACATGGAAACACTCCTAAGAATCACATATGGCTACTGTAATTGGAACATGGAAACACTCCTAAGAATCACATATGGCTACTGTAATTGGAACATGGAAACACTCCTAAGAATCACAAATGGCTACTGTAATTGGAACATGGAAACACTCCTAAGAATCACATGGCTACTGTAATTGGAACATCGAAACACTCCTAAGAATCATACATGGCTACTGTAATTGGAACATCGAAACACTCCTAAGAATCACACATGGCTACTGTAATTGGAACATCGAAACACTCCTAAGAATTACACATGGCTACTGTAATTGGAACATCGAAACACTCCTAAGAATCATACATGGCTACTGTAATTGGAACATGGAAACACTCCTAACAAAAACATATGGCTACTGTAATTGGAACATGGAAACACTCCTAAGAATTACACATGGCTACTGTAATTGGAACATCGAAACACTCCTAAGAATTACACATGGCCACTGTAATTGGAACATCGAAACACTCCTAAGAATTACACATGGCTACTGTAATTGGAACATCGAAACACTCCTAAGAATCACACATGACCACTGTAATTGGAACATCGAAACACTCCTAAGAATTACACATGGCTACTGTAATTGGAACATCGAAACACTCCTAAGAATCACATATGGCTACTGTAATTGGAACATCGAAACACTCCTAAGAATTACACATGACCACTGTAATTGGAACATCGAAACACTCCTAAGAATTACACATGGCTACTGTAATTGGAACATCGAAACACTCCTAAGAATCACATATGGCTACTCTAATTGGAACATCGAAACACTCCTAAGAATTACACATGGCTACTGTAATTGGAACATCGAAACACTCCTAAGAATCACACATGGCTACTGTAATTGGAACATCGAAACAAGTCCACGGATAATGTCTGTTAAAGTAAGGACACAAATGTGCAGGCTTTGTACACATTTGAAGTGGGATTGGGTCCCAGGTTGCTCAGGTGTTCGCCACAGGATTGAGGTATCTGGCCCCCGGTGTTCACCACAGGATTGAGGTATCTGGCCCCCGGTGTTCACCACGGGATTGAGGTATCTGGCCCCCGGTGTTCACCACAGGATTGAGGTATCTGGCCCCCGGTGTTCACCACAGGATTGAGGTATCTGGCTCCCCGGTGTTCACCACGGGATTGAGGTATCTGGCCCACGGTGTTCACCAGAGGATTGAGGTATCTGGCCCCCGGTGTTCACCACAGGATTGAGGTATCTGGCCCCCGGTGTTCACCACAGGATTGAGGTATCTGGCCCTCGGTGTTCACCACAGGATTGAGGTATCTGGCCCCCGGTGTTCACCACAGGATTGAGGTATCTGGCCCCCCGGTGTTCACCACAGGATTGAGGTATCTGCCCCCCCCCCCCCGTGTTCACCACAGGATTGAGGTATCTGGCCCCCCGGTGTTCACCACAGGATTGAGGTATCTGGCCCCCAACAGTCTGGGGCCTTGAAGGAAATCAGGGAATAGCACCACTGTTATCTACCATGTGTGTTATAAGGGTAACTAAGGTATGATAACGGGCCCTGGCAACCTCGTACCGGCGGAAAAAAACAAACATGGAATCACTGATGCATAGATAAACAAAGAGACAGACTGATGTACAGATATACAATGAGACAGACAGACTGGTGTACAGATAGACAGACTGGTGCGTAGACAGACTGGTGAATAGATAAAGATATAGAAATACTGATGTATAGACAGATCAGACAGCGAGACAGACAGGCAGACTGATAAATAGACAGAAAGACAGACATGCAGAGAGACAGACATCTGATAGACAAATAACATACAGACATACTTAAAGACAGACATCCTTAAAGATAGATAGATAGACAGACAGACAGACAGACAGACAGACAGACAGACAGACAGACAGACAGACAGACAGACAGACAGACCGACCGACAGACATGTGTATATATATATATATATATATATATATATATATATATATATATATATATATATATATATAGATAGATAGATAGATAGATAGAGACGGGCAGTCAAAGAAGCGTTCACGCTGTTGTTCTCACAGACAGACAGACAAATGATCAGTCTATCTGCACACAACAGAGAGTAATGTTATCAAACTAGCCACACACGGACAGGTAACTCTCCCACACTGCCCCCATCCACTCACAGCATTACCTCCCCCCTGATTGCACCCTCCCCCTAGTTCGTGTTTTCACATCTGTCTATCTAATCCGGAAATGTGGCAGACGAATCTTCTCCGGCCCAATAAAGAGGCAAGTCCTTCCTTCCTTCGACAGAACATCCCAGCGGCACAGACTTCACAAGGCTCAGGGGCGGATCTACGTTGGCGTACTTATTTTCACCATGTGGACAACAGAAGTGGAGTAATTTTCTGGGCGTCTCTTGTATTTACAAACAAGAAGCCACCCCAGAGCCCGGAGAACCTTTGCTACT